AGAGAGAGAGAGAGAGAGAGAGAGAGAGAGAGAGAGAGAGAGAGAGAGAGAGAGAGAGAGAGAGAGAGAGAGAGAGTGTAATCCTTGCACAACGACCATGCTAATGTGTTACTCTATTTGAATATCAATTTATACGTGTCATTGTTGCTAAGTGGCCAGACGGGGAATTGTTGAGATAAGGAGGAGTCGAATCAGGATGGGCGGAAGGGCCAGAGTAGGGACTGGACGAGGCAGTGGGGTTGGGATGTGTGGAAGGACTCAAGTAGGGATGGGACGAGACAGTGGACGGATGACACACACACACACACACGGACACGTGCACGTGCGTGCACACACACACACACTCTCACACACACACACTCACTCGCTCACACAATCACTCGCACACACACACATATCATGTCTCTCTCACACACACACACATGCACCTTACCTTTATGCAAGCAATGCCTTCAAGAGTAGATCCAACATCATAGGAACCTGACCTTTATGCAAGCAATCCAGCATACTTGAGAGCGGGTTACCCAACAATGAAACAGTTAGCAATATGATAGACAAGAAATCAATTATGTCATTTTTTTGCCTGTATTCACCATTATTATCGTTGGGAGGCCTCCCAGTCTTACATACCCCTCATACTCTGCCTCTCACGTACAAGGCTGGCCGCGTTGATGATGGTTAAGCGCCAGCTACCCACATTCCCATGTGCCTTAATGGCCCACTTGCAAGTTATGAATGGAGGCAGAGTAAAAGGGTGACTTGTATTTTGTCTGTTCTCTTAGTGACGCTCATTTCTATGTGTTTACGAGTAGTGCACAAGGAGAGGGAGTACACAAGGGGATGGAGAGGAAATGGGGTTAAATAAAGTGGGAGAGAGAGAGAGAGAGAGAGAGAGAGAGAGAGAGAGAGAGAGAGAGACATACTGCGTAGCCACACGGGCCCTGCAGGGCCCGTCCCGCACTTTCAGCCTAAAAGCCTAGAAAATAGGGCTTACAGGCCCCGGTCGTTTCAGCCTGAAACTGAAAAACGAGGGCCTGCAGACCCTATTCCGTTTTCAGCCTATTTCTGGGCCTTTCAGGCCCAGAGGCTTTTCAGCCTGAAACATAGGGCCATTTTCAGACCCTCATCGTTTCGACCGATACTAGGACTCGGGCACAAAAACAGGGTTTTCGGAACAGGCTAACTTTAGCCTGTTCCCCACGACAGCTCGAGCAGGAACTGCAGCTGCAGCCCCTGCCTCCCTTCGGCATTGGCAAGAGCAGCCTCCTGGACTGCCTCGCCTGCAGTCAAGAGGCACCCGGTAGTACATAGGAAGTTCCCATGGTAGTTGGACAGTAAGACGGTAGTCTTCAGGATTTCGGCCGCAACACTCAGGAGGAGCGCTGCAGTAGTCTTCAACGCTAGCAATAGTCTTCAGCGTTGGGCGCCCATAGCTGTAGGTGTAGTCTTCAGCGCTGGGCGCTAGTAGGTGGTAGTAGTAGCAGTGGAG